TTTTCCAGTAAGGATGGGGAGCAGAAGCAAAAACACCCTGCTTCACAGTTGAAGGTGCTGTTTTGTGCAAAACTGACCAAAGTTTGGAAATCAGTCATCAGCGGTGCTGGCAAATGAAGAGGCTTCTGTATTGGGTGGGGCACTTGCTGTGACTTCCAGGTGACCTGCTGGCTGGGGGCTGTGAGGCGGGCAGTAGGTTTGCAGTGTGACCTGGGCATAATCCCTGGCTCTGAGGCTGCTGGTCTGACTAGCAGACCTGGGCACCAGCAGTCCTAATGGGGCAGCTCGGGATGTGATCTGGGACACCTGCCGTGCTGAGGGCGAGAAGAGGGCTCCCCTGAGGGTGTGTCCCTGCGGAGAGTGGAAACGTCCTCCTGCAGGGGAGGAAGAGCCTCTGAGCAGGGGGCCGGATGCACAGGCAAGACCAGCCTGAGCACTGAGTTTTCAGGGAGCTGGAACTCATAAAGTGGCCCAAACCGCCTTGTTCCTGAGAGACTGGAGGGAAAAGATGCTGAAAAGGCAGGCTAGATTCAGACCCTGTGATGGGTTATGAGTGACAGGAAAGGACTGTTCAGGCAGGCACGAGAGAACCCTGTGGGCATCCCAGCTGGGGCGTCACGCCGGAGGGAAGAACAGAGTTATAGACTTTGCCACTTATTAGCTGTGTGACTTTGAGCAATATCACCCACCTCTCTCTATATATATCTTCATCTGTAAAGTGACAGAGTGACAAGCTCGTGTCATCAGAAGGCTTAGTTTAGCTCTGATCCTCTGTGTCCAGTCCTGTCAGTGCTGCCCTGCAAGGTTCTGCAGCGGCTGCTCTTACCCTGAGATGGGAGGGCGTAGAGGGACATTGTAGCGCATGAGAGCAGGAAGGGGTTGCTTTAACAGCAAACATGTAACCGCCTGCAGCTGCAGACCTGCAGGCAGTTTGGTTGACGGCCCTTGAGAGGACTTTGGAGGCCTTAGCATCGTCTTAAGTCTTGTTTTCCCTTTGGGACCGGATTTGACTTTGCGGATTGATGTTGAAGATTTGGGCTTCTGGCAAAGCTGTTTTCAGATGGGTATATACGTAAAATATCGTATAAAATCAAATGATTTACTTAACATGTGCGACTTTGCAGCTGTTGGGAACAGCTCTGTTGGCCTGGTCTCCACGGAGGACCCTAAGGGTCAGCAGAGCACGCGGGAGGGCAGGCAGCCTGCAGTGCTTCTGCGGGGGGTTCTCCCCAGCACGGCGCTCTGCTGAGTTGACTCTCCCATGAGTTTGGTTGCCAGAGGAGCAGACAGCAAATTAATGAGTTCTGGAGGGATTGTATAATTACAGGAAGAAAGAGGAACCCGGAGTTTTTCCGGACTAAAACACGCTTTTGGTTCCTGATTCAGTGTGTTCCATTACAGAATTGATGAGCTGTGTCTATTCTGGGACTTCATTGAAATAAACGTTCTCCCTTACTGTTAAGGGCTTTGTTTTATTTGGTTGGAGGACTCGAGCTGGGATGACAGCCTCTCAAATCACTCTGAGGGACTTCTCCCAAGAGGTAGGGGAGGATCTAGGATATATAGAAGGTTTACAACAAAGACCAGGTATTTTGAACAATAAAATATTGTTTGTTATCTAATGAAAACCAGATATCTCAAGTTCAAGTATTTAGTGTTCTATGTATGGTGGGAAGCAAACAATTGGGTCATTGAATTCATTCCTTTGGCAAGCACCTGGCTATCTAGGGCCAGTATCCTGTACTATCTTACTCTGAGTCCCCTCAGAGGGCACCCCGTGAGTGGCTGAGAGGCTGGGCTGCAGTCCTCTCTTCGCTGGGGTTTGGCAGCAGCCGCTGATGACTTGGATTCAGCATTCTTTGTTTACTGACAT